ATCGTTTGCCTGGCCCACTGATAGGAAAAATGATTTATATGACGAATGTCTGGTGTATGTCCCTTGCATGACAAAAATGTTTGAAGTCACATGGCCGATCTGAAACAGACTCGTCACTTGACCGACGATCCATAATTTCCGGCCAACCAGCATCAGGAACGTGATATCTTATATTGTAAATTTGAAATTAAATAATAATCAAATTTTCAAATACTGTATAAAGAAATTTTATGATACTGATAAAAACATTTTTTATAATACATTAATAATAATATTTAAACAAATTGAAGAATTTGAAAAAAAATAAAAAATCAAGTCAAACATATTAAATAAAATTAAGATAAACATATGCTGCACTTAAATCAAATTAAATTAATAATACTAGTATCAATTTACTGTATATCAAACTATTTAAAAAAAATTTATTTTTATTCTTATTCTTACTATTAATTTCAAAAAATAAATTTTGAAAATAAATTTTGAAATTACAGATGAAAGCATTTTTTATTATCAGAAAAAGTTTTTCTCATTTCAAATAAAAAGAAATAAGTTTATTAAAATTTTTTTTTTATCATTTTAAACTATAGCATTTAATTCAAGTATATATATATATATTTATTTAAATTGGATATTTGATCAAAATAAGAATTGATTACTGTAACCATATCTTTCAAAAGAAATATAATCAATTTACAAAATTTTATATGTTAAGTAATTTCCAAAACTATTATTATTTTTTGTTTTTCAAGAATTTATTTTTTTTGAAAAAACACTTTTTATATTTTAAATTATGATAAATTTCAAAAAGATTATATATATACAATACATATATTAATGATTTTTTTTCAATTTTTATTAATTCATAAAATAAAAGTATTTTAAAAATAATTATCTTTTAATAATAAAACTTTGTATGCTTGATTGAATATCTTGTTATAACATTATAGTAAATCATTAAAAAAGAATAGTGATTTAAAAAGAATGAGTGATTATGAAAAGAAAGTCTCTTAAGATATCGATTATTTTTTTTTATAAAATTTGTAAATAAAATAAGCATATTAATTAAATTATGCCTCTTTTTAATATAGTAAAAAAGGGATTTTTTCTTTGAGCCAAAATCCGGAAAGATAAATTATAATAAAAGTAACATTCTAGAGATTAAAATTAAGGTTTCTAGGAAGTCTCTATATCATTAAGAATGTCCCGTTTTCTAATAATTAACGGCCTCCAAAGTTCACTAGCTTCTTATTAGCCTCAAGAATTCTTCTCTGGTTTTCGCTTGTTCCCTAAATACTCCTAACATAACGCTTGTGACGGTGGAACTTCCGGGTTTCTGTACACCACGCATCACCATGCACAGGTGCCTAACAAATAAAAATTTAGACATTTCATTAAAAAAGGTGACACATTCAAAGTTTATACTTACGTAGCTTCCATAACAACTGCTACACCTTGAGGTTTCAATATTTCTTGAAGCGCTACCGCGATTTGTTTTGTGAGTCGTTCTTGAACTTGCAGTCGTCTAGAGAACATTTCTGCAATTCTTGCCAGTTTTGATAAACCTAAAACACGGCGATTCGGAATATACCCTATGCTGATCTATCGAATGATGGCAAATACAAGGTTACCCCCAGGGAAGGAAGGAAAGAAAGAACGACAAACGAAGGTAAAATAAAGCAAAGGGCTTTACCTTGCCAGTAAAGGGAACAAGGTGATGTTCACATAAAGAGAACACATCAATGTCTTTAACAATAACCATTTCGTCGTGATCTAATTAAATTTGTTCGTCGAAATATATTAGCATATATTTGGATTCCGGTTATATATAATATAAGCAGTGCACAAAGTACCTTCTTCGAATATAGCATCGTTAATAATTTCTAAATTTGGATGGTATAGTTTTAGTGGAATTGAAAGATCTGAAGCGGGATCCACCAGCTAGTGCGAAGTCAAATTCACTTACGCTCAATACTTTCTTCGTATCCCTTAGAAAAGAACAATAGAGCCTGCGCATATCTGTCAGGTGTCTTTAATAACCCTTGCCTGTTGGGATCTTCCCCAATACATTCTATGATTGTTTTGACGGCTTCGGATAACTTATTTATGCGTTCTTCCTTTTGCTCCTCGGTCTCATTTAACCTTTGTCTGGTACCTAGACCTTTTATGTGCAAAAAAAGAACACATTAAAAAAGTGAAATAAAAACGGGATTTTTTTTTTGAAAAATATTTACTGGGCCAACTTAAACCGTCCATGTCGATAGGGGAATCATCACGGATGTAAGGAGAGTATGGGCGAGATATACCGTTACCGTTGGAATTTCTCTTTTGGATGGGAAAGTCAGATTCCTTAAAATTGGTCTCGCGTGCAAAATCCATTAATTGTAATCGTATCATTTGCATACATATTATATATTTACTCTAATTAAACTAGTGGGAATGTTAGATGACGTAAAATAATGACGTATTGTATATCCCGAAAGGTCGATTTCAAGTCATGTGTGCAATTATCATGGAAGATATTATTCTCCACTGCTTTGTTGCCATGCTTTATATAGAAGTAAGAAACGGAAAATTTATCGTCCAAACAAGATCTTCTTTGTGTAATGTGTATTTGCACTTTTTAGAAATATTTTTAAATTCGAAAATTTTTAAATTTATTTTAATAATAAGGATTAATTAGTTAATTGTAGTTTTAAATAGATTTAATTAAATAAAATTTTTGGTTTCTAAATAATGCCCCATGTAACACGCCACCAACTGGGTAACCGGATAACATACAGCGGACTTACAGCTCACGTACACGACTCGTTTTATGATGACAGACAAGGACGAATCAAAAGCAGGAAAGGAAGAAACAAGTAGTGCTTTAACAGTTCCTAATGAGGAGAATGAAATATCCTTGGAAAATATAGAGCAAGATGATACTAATGACAATAATGTTCAGGATGCTTCGACCGTGAAAGGCAAGAAGAAAAAGAAGAAGAAGAAGAAAAATAAATCGGAGATGAATAACGATCCTACATCTGCAGATAAGGCATCGGGCAAAGATGATTTGGATCAAGTGGTGGCACACATTCTAGGGTAATATAGAAAAAAGAATTTTGAAGAATGTGTCTCGTGTTTTTTTTTTTTTGTCAAAACATCTAAAATGCCAGGCGAATTTTGTAGAGACGCGAAACCGTCTTCGAATTCGTGTTCAGTGCCAAAGTGTAAACAGAGTTTGTCAGTTCTTAGTCACACTTGCCAGTATTGTAATATGAAATATTGCATAACACATAGGTACATGAACGGCACAAATATGTTTATCTTTTGCGTTGTACACTTGCAAACATAACAGATCTTTCTCGTAGGCATCCTGAAGCACATTCACAAAAGTGCGTCGAAAAGGTCAGGAGCAGCGCACATGCTGGGTTCAAGCAAGAGTCTATGCGTTTTATCTCTCAAGAAAGAAGAGATCCCGGATCAACAAACGCCAAAAATTTTAATGCCGAGAAAAATAAAGAGGAACTTAAAAAAAGATTTAAAGAAAAATTGGATAAAATAAGGCGCGAAGAGAGAGGTGGCAAAGGGTTTTAATATTTTGTAATCGTGCTATCATGTGAAGTGTGGTTCAAGAAAACATTATCTAGTACAAATGAATGTAATAAATGTTTCATTTACTTAATAATCCATTGAAACTAGGGTCACAGAATACGGCATTGTTATGAGAGACCTGTGACATTAGTAAATAGAGACGACTAAAAGGTTAAACATACAACAGTTTTTCACACAAGAATAAGTGATACAGAAGTTTCCTCAAATAAAGATTATTGAATTTATATTTAAAAAACGAAAAGGAATTATTGGTATTGATTCTGAAAGTAATAAATAAAGAATAAATAAAGGAATTAACAAATTAGATATAATTTTCCTGTTAAAAAAATCTCGAGTTATTAATTCTTTTTTGAACACGAATAGTTAGGAATTGATATAAAGTAAATAACATGGTCCGGAAATATAGACTAGAATATCCATAAATAAACACGGAACATCGAGAATAAAAGAAATGTAACAGTGAATAAAGCATCTGCCAATCTAATCTAATATATATATATAACCCTTAAAACCTACATTATCCGTTCTTAAGATGTCAAACTCTTTTATTATTATTATTCTATTTTTCTTTATTAAATAACTGGACCACCAGGTCCTACCTGTGGTTGCACAGGCTGTACTTGTTGCTGTTGCTGTTGTTGTTCGTGTTGCTTGTTACTAGAAGATTCCTTAAGGGCCAGCAATTGCTTGGAGCGGAAAGCTTCATAATGAATTTGGGCCGTGGTTTCAATAAGATCTTG